AACACACAAAAAAAAAAAGCAACACAAAACCAAAAAAGCACAAAAAAAAAGCCACAACCAAAAAAACCAAAACCCTCAATAAAACACAACCAAGCAACACTGAGAAGCTTTTGGCTGGATAGCAGGTGCCCACCAAAGTCACTTTATCATGCATCCATTTCAGCTGGACACGGGAGGGAAAACTTAATGAAAGGCAAGTGGATTGAGATAAGGGCAGGGGGAGATGACTCACCAATTACTATCAAGTCAAAACAGACTCAATTTGGGAAAATCAGCCAAATTTATTACAGATCAAATCAGAATAGGATAATGAGAAATAAAACTTAAATAATGAGACATCTTTTCCCTACCCCACCCCAGCAGCTTCCCTTTCTTCATTGTGGGGTGTCTCCCACAGAAAACAGTCCTCCATGAGCTTCTCCAGCCCGAGTCCTTCCCAGAAGCAGCAGTTCATCACAAACTGCTCCACTGTGGGTCCTTCCCATTGGGGTGCAGTCCCACAGAAACACCCCTCCAGCGTGGGTCCCTGCCAGCACACCTGTTCCAGTGTGGACTCCTTCTTCCATGGGCCCACAGGTCCTGCCGGAACCTGCTCCATCACAGCCTTCCCACAGTGTCACATCCTGCTTCAGCCATCCACTTGCTCCATGTGGGGTTCTCCAGGGACTGCAGGAGAATATCTGCTCCACCATGGGCCAGCAAGGGCTGAGAAGGACAGCCTGCCTCACCGTGGTCATTGAGCAGCCAGTTACATAGTTATTTATCAATAGTTTACCACAGGCATCAGGAGAATCTCAACTCCAAAGTTAGAGCACCTCCTCCTTCACTGACCTTCCTATCTGCAGGCCTGTTTCTCACGTTCTCACTCCTCTCTCCCCCTGCAATTGATGTTGCACAGGGCTTTTTCCCATTTTAAATGCATTATCCCGGAGGCAGTACAGCTGCCACGGATGGGCCCAGCCCTAGCCAGAGGTGGGTGAGGCTTGGGGCCAGCCGGCACTGACCCTGCTGGATTTGGGGAAGCTTCTGCAGCTTCTCACCCCGGCCACCCTTGTAGTTCTCTGCTACAGGACACTGCCACGCAGAGCTAACACTGCAGCGTTCAGCTGAGGCAGGGAATGACTGCTGGTGGGGTAGCACCAGCCAGCAATCAAACCCCAAATAAACACCCCCTCTCCCCCCCGCATCCAGTAAGGCAGGGACAAAAGAAGAGATTTATGGGTTGAGATAACAATTTACTGAAAGCAAAAAACAGTGGGATAAGAAACACACGGTAACAGCAGAAATATTAATAACAAAAGTATACAAAAAGAGGTGTTTTAGCCAACAAAAAATGTGTTCACTAGCTCAACTTAGTACAAGGAAGGAAAAGGATGGGCCAATCTCTAGGCCTCTGTCACCTCTCCTATCCAAGGGTTCTCTCTGCAGGAATTCCCTCCACAGAAGTGCTGCAGGGCATGGAGCAGGAGAGAGCCCGTCCCAGACATTGGCTGTCAAGTGCCTCTGCTTGAAGAAAATCTAATAGTAGTGCCAGAACTGGCACTTGGGACAAAAGTAATGCGAACATATGAGACACCATGCCAGTGGCTGGAAAGCTACATTTTCTGATTTCCTTCAGATCATCTGAGATTTTAGGGTGCATCACAGATTCTGAGATGGGACATAAAAAAGGTAAAGCGGGCTGTACAAGACATCTACAGAGAGCTGTTTCCATTGTCTCAGGAATACTTGTTTTCCAACCAGTATGAGGCTGGTAAAACCAGGAAGGAGCAGGTGTTCACCACCACTGAAAAAGCTCACAGGCAAAATCAGAGTATCTAATCCTGACAAAAATATTTCCAACAAAGAAAAACAGTTGAGAATTGAAACTGCACCAGAGTTCCTCAGAGCCTGCAGAATTTACAAAGCTGCTGAAATGCCCAGAACTTTGCAGTCATGGGAAGACTTTGACAAATATAATTATATCCTCCCTGGCAGGCATTAAGGAGTCTGTCACAATACCCATTTTGACAGTTCAGGAACCTTAGTTTGAGTTCATGAGTGGCTGCTCAAACAAAACAATGAGCAGGATTTTAGAATATAAGGCAGAAATTACCTATGTATCTTGTTGGAAAATTTGCGGAAAGAAGATACTCTTATATAGCTCTTGCCTACTTATTTAGGCTCTGAGGGACTCCTGTAAGGCTCATCTTGGCTGACCCTTGACAAACTCCTAGATGCCAGCATCTGCCCTTCCTTCACAATGCTTTTTTATGTAAAACCAGTAAAAACCATCTTCTTAACCAGCTCCAGATCTCTCTCTCCAGTTACCACTAAGGAAGAATTCACCAGAAACACTCTCTCTCCTGGACCTTTCTTGGCCTTAAGTGTATTTCTGTTCTGTTCATTGTGATGCAGTGAACAGAAAATTGGCATCTTACTGCATGTCTCCAGTGCTCAATTACCATACCTCCTGCAATTCCCTTCACATGCTCTCTGATTCTGTAATAGTTCAATACACTGTACTGAACAAGCTCCAGATGATGCTGGAGCAAAATTGCATTTCAGGGAGATAACTGCAGAACATATATGTGATCTGGGACAGGACACAGTCTACTGTGAGGAAATAGCAGTAGTCCTTCAAAACAAATTTTTAAAGTTTGATTTAATTTCTCAGAATAGACGATCAAAGACCTAAATGGCCACTGATCCATATCTCTGTTGTCCAACACAAATTTGAAAAATTAACCATCCTTCATAAAATATTTATTTCACAACAATTCATGACCAAAAAGAAGCACCTGGGAAAAAACCCTTTAAAGCTAGAAGGCAATTTCATTCAGCTTATTAAAACTAAGTAAAATGTTTTAAATTTATATGGACAACCTTTGGTGTCTGAAGAGGGCTTTATGGTTTTACTATTAATAGTCCAATAAAATGCTAAAATATTTTGTGTATGAAAAATATTAGCAACTAGCCACCAAGAGTTTGCAGACAAGGAGAGCTAATGCTATTTCCCTATCACACACAGCTGAATCTTCATCTTTTGAACATCACAGTGAGATGGTATTAACAACAGAAACTGCTAAGTTTAATACCACAATTCTGGATAAGATTGAGAAGGTTACTTAGAAAGCTATGGCCCCTGTCAAAATAGTGAAGTATTTATCACATGTATGCTGTCTCAGTAAATGCTTAGTAAGGAACAGGGAAAAGCTGTTCAAGCAGAGGGCTGTGCCTGTGAGGACTGGCTCAGGGCTTGTTTCTTCCGTGCCACAGCCATGCGCAAGGCCTGAAGAATCATGTTCTCATTGTTCATTATGTTGTAATTAGCCAGCTTCAGAAGCTTGTTGAAATCTTCTGTTTTCAGCGAGACCTCCCTGGTTGAGTATGGAGAGGAGAAACTGGAGATATCAACTTTGCCCTGCTCCATTTCAGCAGCAGTACGTAACATGCCTGTCAAGGGAAAAAAAGGAATGTGTTTGAATAGTCCCACAGAAATACCATACTTTGATAGGTCAATAATAACTTGGAGAGATCATAAATGCAATTACTATGAAGATAAGTGCAGTGCTGTGATCTCTGAGACGTCTGGGCAAAGCCTATTGGAATAAAACAAGTGTCATTTCCTCTGCAATCAGCACCATCTACTGGCCAGCTCATGGCGCATCATTTTGTGTGGTCACCACCGCTCAAGGCTGACCAGAACACCAAAGGAATAAAGGTATACGGGACAGGAGGAAGCAGAATATTAGTTGGCTTGGAAATAATTTTAAAAGGAAACTCTCCATCTCAAATACAATTCCAGAAGGACACTTTATATATGATTGCTTTGATATTCCAGCATATTTAATGGCCTAAATAGAAGGCACCATGGCCCTTCACAGAACCATTCTATACTGTGATTCTCACCTAGATCGAAGTGTCATAAAACCACACATAATTTGAAAAAAATATTTTGGTCTATTCACTAAAGTAAACTCTCAGAAATTACAAGAGATCAGTTTCCATTCCTCTAACTGAGGAACACATTTCTTCTATTTCCTGAATTCCACCAAGACACAAATAAAAATATGCACAAGATTTCATCAGATTTTGAAAACAGTTTGAATCATCCCATTTTGCAATCTATTCACTAGTTTGAGCAAGCAAACAGAGGGAGGCTCTATTGGGTTGAGGGAAAAACACCAAGGGAGTGGGAATTTTTCTTGAGTCAATAAAGTTACCTGGGTACTCTTAACTTACCAGGTGCTACATATCTCTGAAAAGTGTCATTCACTAATGGAAAATAAAGCAGCAGAGGAGCTCCTGGGGTGTCTGCACCATCGAACATGTAGCACTCTTTCAGGTTATTCTCATCATCCGTCAGTCCAATGCAGGGAAATGGAATTTCCTGCTCTGCAAAGTATTTGCAAGCCTGTTCCAAGGGCTGGTCAACAGCAGCAGCACAAGGAATAGAAAAGATAGCAAAGATCAGACTGCTGCCAAAGCCCAGCAGTTCATGCAAAGTGACACAAAACAGACTGAGAGTCAGACAGCAGAAATAATGTGGACACCTGCAGCCCCAAAGACTGCTTTCCAGTTGCCTGAGGAACCATTTGGAAATAGTCTTCCAGGAAAACACCTAATATCAAGATGGCAAAGAGAGTTTAAACCTGTACATCTCTAAAATGAGAATATAATGTAGAAACAGAACAGATAAATTAAAATCATGTTATAGACCATTAATTAAATGAGAACTGAGTGAGATAAAATATGGCTCTAAGCAAAACTAAATTTGCAGTCTAATACAGTAGGATTCCCAGTCCCATTATCTATTTATATAGCAGGATAACTTGTGAGTTGACCTCAATAAACTTTAGCAGGTTTTTAAGACCAATCTACCCATATCTATAACTTTGAATTTTAGAAATAACATGAGATTTTCAAATAACATGCTCTAGACTTCAAAATACAGCACTACATTCATCAGAAAACCCAATTGTGGTGACCAACTTTGTTAAAATATCTAACAAAAAAGTACCACCTCATTTTGAATTATATCCAAAAGATTTCAGACTACAAGAAAGATATATAGTTTAAGATATCATTTCCGCTGCAGCACAAATACAAGTATTTTTCATGTGAAATTGCATCATTGAAATGTCTTCCCTTGAAAAACTGACAGAGCCTTAACCACTGAACTTTGTGCTTTTTGGTGTGTCCCTCAGGGACAGGTTTCCAATTACAAGTCTGGTTTATATTTTGAAGTCTAAAACTGTCTATTTATGTGGTAAATACTACTTTCAAAATGTATAGAACCATCTTAACCAAATTAGATACCTGCAGGAGCAGTAAATGCATTTGATACCTCACTTCAAGTCCACTATTTAGGGAGAAAAAATGCATTTATTAAAAGAGATAAAAATAGATATGAAGAAACCTATTTCTCACTAGGCTGTTCTTCCTAGAAAATCAACATTAAAATAATTTTTTTTAAAGCATACATTTATAAGCAAAATGCAGATTGAATCACAAAAGTTTCCCAATGATATTTGTGCTGTTAAATATTATATATAAGACTATAATAGACATTGTAGCTAGACTTTCTTAACTTCACTTTGTCTGTCTGTATTTCACTGGTGAAGAACTTAGGCATATTTCAAAAGTAATTTGAGAAAAATGCACATATTTTCCTCTCTAGAAATTTCCATTCTTCTTCTAAGGTTTGAAAACAGCATGTTACTAAATTCCATTAAGTTCCATGCTTCACAACACCCGTTTTAAAGTAGTGGAAAGCAAAGCGAAAGCTGTTGGGAAAGAAAATCAGTTTTGAGACTTCTTACCAATGTCTGTGATCCACCTGTGTAATTTAAGTGTATGATGACATCCACTTTCCGCTCTGGTCTCATAACGGGTGGGTAACTGGTTTCAAAGAAGAAAGCTGCATCCACCAGCTCCAGGTGTTCCGAGTTGCCTCTCAGGTCATTGGGAGAGGTGTCTAGCAAGGTGTCTAAAGAGTGGAAGATTCAGAGCTATTAGCAAACTGCAAAAAGACATATGTCAAGTTAGAAGGCAAAAGGAAGGTGAGCTTCCCTCCCATCCAGGACTTTCCCTTTGCTTTAGGGTAGGTAGCATGCAGCAATCCTAAAGATCCTTCAGCACGTCCACTCACATTTTGTTGTATTTCTAAACCCATGAACTGCACCTAAACTTACACAGATGTTGCATTATATGCAGGGCCCCACCCTAGCAATTTTTATTCCTGTGAGAACTTTGAGTACCCAACAGCTAAATAATTGAACTTTGTCTTAATGAAAAGTGTGAGGAGATCCTTCATTCTCCCTCCTCTCAGTGAGCATGAACAGGTAACCACAAAACCCACACAGTTCTCTTCAGGACATGCAAACATCCCTCGCTAATTCCCAGCTCCTGTGCCTGCCCCAAGGAGATACATAGGCAGGAGAGCCATCCACACCTTTCCATTTTGTGAAATGTTCATCCTGGATGTACTCGTTGTGCATCTGGAAGCCCCTTAGGAAGTTGTGGTACTTGGAGACAGCAGGGCGATCCGTCAGGATGTCCCGGAGCGTTGTGGAGAGGCCGCTCGTAGGAGTGAAAACGCACGTAGCCATCTCATACGGCTTCTCAGGCAGGTCTGGTTGTTCCTCTGGAGATATACAACATAAATGGCATGAAATTTAATTATAACCAGAATTAAACAGAGGCAAGACACAAAGAGGAACAATGGTCAATGGGTCTTCTATAATCGTGTTGACAGCTCAGCATTGCATTGTTTTCCTTATGATCTGCTGTGAGATCCAGTTAATTTCACGACAAAAGTATAAACTCATGTTTTCTAAACTCTGTTGGTTACCCATGATGAAAAGAATATTTTTCTCATAAAACAGTATGATTTTGATACACACTGAAGTAATTCACTTTTCCAAGCAAACACCAAACAGGGAAAATAATTTTGCTATTACATTTTAAGGAATTACTGCTTTTAGATTCCATGTAGGTTAAATATTACATTTAAAGCTGATTTTGAAAACCAAAGAAAAATTTCAGCATTTTACTTTCAAATTAAATACTTCACTTCTAAAAAGCTAGGTTGGTTCAGTTGTGGACACCTGAATTCCACAAATCTTGCAAATTATTTATATAAACTCTAACATAAGACTTTGGGGTTTTTTTATGAAAATACAGTTCACAGAAATGTGGCCCAAGTCTGTTTACTGGTTTTGCTTGAATTTTGCTATGAAGATGCTCATGAGTATTTCCAAGGAATGGTCTTTCAGTATGGAGCTGCTTTTCTAAGCTGGTAAAAGCTCCAACACATTGACCTTGTTTGACACCTACTAAGTTTCAATTTAGCCAGATTTTGAGGGAGGGATGTTCTATGCAGGGGAAGGAGTATTGAAACAAACAATCAAGCTTTTCCTGGCTAACAAATAGATGACATGAGCCTTTGGCACAAGTATTTCCCTGCCTTTTAAGGACAACTCTTCAGACCACCATATGTGTCCATCCCTATCTCCTTTATATCAAGGCCTGTCTGATGGTGCCTTTCCTTCTTGTCACAGTCTCACTGTTTAAGCAAAGCACTGACTATTCAGTAAAATCAAATAACTTCATTTTTCTGGTATGTCCCATACCCAGAGACTGAGACAAACAGGATGACAGAAAAGCTCAACAAATGGGAAATGTGAGTGCAGTTACCATAGCAGAGAGGTCTGCAAGAAGGTATTTTCATTTACCTATTTTGGTCACTTTGTCTTGGGTCCACCTGTTCCAGAAGTCTTCTGAATTGTCAGCTGCATGCCAGGCATCCAAGAGATTTTTGGAGAAGATACTACTCCACATTCCTAGAAAGTGGGAGAGGTATAATAAGCAATGCAGACGTAAACACAAGTTCTTTTAAAGCTGCCTTCTGCTCCTTTCCCAACTCTTCTCTAACTTGTTCAAATTTATATCCAATTTTTGCATGAGCTCAGACATCTATTTCAGTAGTAGACTCCAAAGACAAACCTATCTAGGCAAACTTATTTCAGAAAAAAATTCCAAGTCTTTTCCCTCTCACCATGCTTTACCTGGAACATTTTTTTTTTAAATTTTGTAGTCAGTTTTCATATTTCTATTTTCATTTCCTTTTTCCAATAAATATTTTCAGCCAGCTCCTTCTCTGATTCTCCTCTTTCTCACTCCACTGATTTCTTTTCAATATTTTATTTGGCTTCCAGAGAGTATCATTGATTTCCAGCTTTGAAAAGTTTTTGCAAGGTACAGGAAATAATGATGCCTCAAAAGCACTCACAAAGGTACATGACAACTTATTTGCCATTTTAGTTTATTTTTATCTTAGACCAAATGATAAAACCACCTTTGCTGGCAAGGGCAGTTGAATGAGTCTCAGGATACATAGAATCATAGAATATCCTGGGTTTGAAGAGATATGCAAGGATCATCAAACCAACTCCTATCCTTGCCCAGGACAACTCCAAGAATCACATCTTGTGCCTGAAAACATTGTCCAAACTCTTTTTGAGCTCAGGCAGGCTTCGTGCTGTAACAACTTCCCTGGGGAGCCTGTCAGCTGACTCACTCTGTGCCTCTGCTGCCTCATGCTAACAGGTTCCTGGGCACAAATTCCTGAATCATTAATGTTTCCATTAAAATCTTGTCACTCCCCCAGGTTGCTGAGTTACCTTGCATGAAGCAGATTCGTGACTCAGGGAGTTTCTTCATCAGGCGACCCATGAAGAACTCGCTGCCAAAATCCTCCGCACGAATGAAGGCGCCATATTTCAGGAAGCCCACCTCGTATGGTGTGAACTCCACCCACTCTGCCAACACATGCACCAAGGTTAGCTTTACTATAGAAAACAGCCCAGTTGCCAGGTTTGGAATAAGCCTCTCAGACATTGGCTCTCACAAGAAAACTGGCTTAGCATGTGTCCTGAGCAAACCCTGTCAACAGCCACTGCTGAACCAGCTATCACACTGTCCCCAGGTTTGTGAAAGAACTATGTCAGGGCTGGAGAAAATTCAAATTCTTCTTTTTATTTAGTGTGTGCAAAGTTTTCTCATGGAAGGTGGACTAGAACTCGCATTGACTTCTATTGCCTTTAGCCAGCTATGAGAAACAGAGTAACAGAATGGTTTGGATGGGAAGGGACTTTAAAGATCATCTAGTTCCCATCATGGACCAAAACATATACTCAGCAAACTCAAAGCTCTAGTGAATCACTGTCTTGAAGAATTCATATAATTTCTGAGACTTTGTCACAGAATTATGTTGTGTTATTAGTCTGAAGTTAATACCTGAAAATACACATGCCAAGAGAGCTTACAAAATACTCAACTCTTGACGCATATCATGTACCTGCTCAGTTACTCTTTATATTTGTGAACGCTGCTTTTCAGGGCTTGGAGTGAGAATTTAAAACAATTCATGATTGTTTACTGTATCCCCACAGTGTATCTCCCTGGGTGAAAATATAGCTCTTTTTCACAACTGAAACATTACCTCTGAAATCTTTGGTGGCAACTTTGTCCTTGACATTAAGGGCAAGGTAGATGGGCAGTGGGTTCTGACCTTGGTTCACTGCCTGACGTTGATCAGAAAGTCTGTGGTGGCTTTTCTGGATTTGAAAAAGAAAGAAAAAAAAGCAGAGTTAGCTTATAACTAGTTCCTTAAAAACATCAGCTTATAAAGACTAAGACATCAGTTTCCTGAATTTGCTCCTAAATTTATTTCCATGTGCTTGATAACAGAGGACAAGAAAGCAGGAACAATTTCTGTTAAACTAACTGGCCATGTTCAGCTTTGAGTATACCATGACAGCAGTGAATAATTTCACATTCTGTTCTAGCTTTGTATGGTTAAATGTAATTTAGAATATACAGCATATCTGAGTAATTAAGAGTTCTTCAAGGCAGCATGTTAATGATCCATCTAATCAAGATTTCTTTTTTTAAATACTATATTGAAAGTTAAAATCCACAGAGGAAAAGTTCTTGAGCTGTACAATACTATCAACTTATACACAAAATAGAGGTTTTGAATATACTTCAGCCAAATTAAATTCTAACGAATTTTGCTATGTAGCACTTAGGCTGGAAACACTGTGTGAAATATGTTATGAAATGAGAGTATTTATCTGTTTTGTCTAGACAAAAATAAACCATGTTTACAGAATTTGGAAATAAAATAGCTTTTTTTCCAGCTATCATCTGCCTGGAGAAAGTTCAGAAAGTTTTTGCTTGTAACATTACAATAAAATTAGAAATTGAAGATCCTGAGAGATCAAATTCAAAGTAGCTGAAGGGCACCCACTGCAGCTAATATATCACATCAGCTCTGGATCTATATACTTGCTTATTACTAAGTCACAAACTGCTGAACATAATGGATACATCTGCAGTACATTTAAATTAAGAGTGCAGCTTGTGCAAACATTGCAGTAGAGGAGAGATAAATGCAAAGGGCCATAAAAAACACCTAAGGACCTTAAAAATTTCTTGCACAGCTGTAGTGTTAATCAGCATTTTGCTTACTTTAGAGCTAGTCTGAGCATTTCTGGTACATTCAATCACACTTCAGGCTCCAATAGTAGACATACTACTGTCTCCAAGTTATTAATGTAAATAAGTGGTGTTCTGCCTATGCACCAAGTACAGTGTTACTGACCAGGTGCCTCTTCCTAGGGCTCTAGTTTCTTGTAATGGTTGTAAATATTAAGTCAAGAACTTTATGAGAAAAAAGATATATAGACATTACCCCATCATTTAACATGGCTTCAATCATGAGACCCCACAGATCAATAAAAGATGTTTTATGTCCTGCTTGGGTCCTTTGGCTCAGCTCTCTGTAATAATTCCTCAGACTTTTCAAGGAAAAAGCCCCCATCTTGCACTTGGCTGCTTGCTTCCGTGCTTCAATAATTACTTCCCCAAGATCCTTACGTGACCAATCAGCATCTTCATATAGCTTTGTCATTGTCCTGCAAACAGGAAACATGATGGAACAAGGAGAAATTAACAAGATGCTTTTGAAACTCAGAAACCCTGTAGTTTTGGATGCATATCATCTTATCTTTTAGTTACTCTTCTCTTTGAATTTACTTTGAGCAGAAATGAAATCTAAAGGCAGACAGGCAAAAATCACAATCTGAGATGCAACACAACAGCTGTCAATGCTGTTTCTGTCAAACAGTAAATAACAATAAAAGAATATTTTTCATAGGATTAAGGATGTTTACATTTCAAAAAAAGTCTCTTCTCTTGGTTAGGGATAGGTCATGATGCACAATAATTTTTTCATAGAAGACTCAGCCCAAAGATGGAAGCAATAACTCCATTAATCACCTTTACCCTTTCTGAATTCGAGAGAGAACAGAGGCTTTTCTTAACACAGCAAGATCCAAACAGTATAAAAATGACTCCTCACCATGTTGTGCCAGATGAACCACTAATGTATGAAACACAATCCAGAACACGCAACTTTTGGAGACCCAAAATGCTGCCATACATGGCAGTGAGTGCTCTTATGCCACACCCTGCTGTTGTCACAGCCACTATAGGCACCTGTTTGACACAAAAAAGAGCAGAAAGCATAGATAAAAGAGTGGCATTAAGGCACAGATAATGTCAAAATATTACAGAAATGCAAAAGCAGCATCCAGACACTAGTAAGATGAAACACAGAAACTAAGAGATGAAGAAACATTTTTCTATATGTATATCCCAGTGGAACATACTAGGTCTTGGCACTTCAGACAGGATTTTTAAGAAACAAAGACCAAATTATTGGTTTGAAATGCCTTCAAATAATTCACTTGTAAGCTGAATGAAAACACAGATTTTTCTCATCTAAATAAGACAGTTGAACTCTCCAGCTGAGATCACACTGGTGGCAAAGTGCCCTGGAGGATGAGCTGATGTTAATACTCACTCCTTATCCAGATGGAGGTAAAAAAATCATCCCTCATCTCCAGGCTTGAGGGAAAAGAGAGAGAAAAATCCCCCAAAAGTGCCCTTAACTAGTTACCTCATGCTCTTGCAGATCTTCCTCCAGATGAAGAACATCCTTTAGTGCAGCAGCAACTACCTTCCTTCGGTTTTGCAGGAAATTCTGTTCATCTGTGCACAGGTCAAACCCCAGGCGGGCATCAAGGTTTCTTGGTCTGAAACACAGACCCTGAGTCCTGAGACCAGGACACAGGTATTGTTGTACTATTAGTCGCTGTGGACAGCTCCAGCTGTGCTTGTGTGTGTTTACAGACAGGTTTGTAGACAGTATAATAAATGGGGAAAAAACAACACCACAGACAGGCCTCTGCTAATTTCTGTAGCTGGAAATGAGAATGCAAATAGGAAGGCAGAGCAAATCATGACACACTGTCCATTATTGTATCTACTACAGACTTCTGATTTTATTTGCTCATATAATTAATTTTTAAAGTTTCAGTAGTGCTGCCATGCATCCTGTAACTAGATAACCACTGTCAACAGGCACTGCAGCTGTGAGATTAGGGAAACAGCTACTTATACCTTGAAGCTATTTTGTTTGTATAATTAAGAAATGTGATTTCTTTGTGGAGCTGCCTTCTCAATTTCTGTTCATAACAGTGCACACAAATCATGACCTGTTGCTGAGATGCACTAGCAGCTTGGAAATTTGCAGGACAGGGGACCCATGATTTAATATGCCATCAATTAAAAAGGAGAACCTCACAAATAAAATCCTACAACCCATAATGAACTCACATATCTGCTCCCATCTGAGCCTGCATTAACCCCTGCTGATTTCAAATGAGCTGTGTGTAGGAGCAGATGCCTCACAGTTACAGAATCAGGTCCTCACTTACCATTCATTTGCCTTTGTGTACAAGTCAATTGTCCTGTCCTGAAAATTGCAATACAAACAGTGTAAGCATGCTGAGGTTGTTACTCCTGCACCTCCCTCCCCCACTCCATCTAGGGCCTGAGTTTCACTATCTTTGAATTCAGCAATGTGGCTGGATAATCTGGGCAGCAATGATCTGGACTGGGAGAGACCTTCACAAGTTCCAGCACAGTCTGGGTTGAATAAAAGTAAGCCATTCACCCAAGTTAGATGGGCTTAGGGCCCCTCAGCTTCTCATAGTTTAACATTTATTATTTGGGAAGGTTATTGAAAGTTGGGCATCTAAACCATATCTACTTTATCTTCTACTTCAGGCATTTGCTTTGCAAATATAAGTCCTAATTGTCATACTGTTAGGGTGCATACTATGTTGATGAACAGACATATTCGATATGTCCTGAGGAAGCTAGTTTAAACTCAGAACAGGGTTTCACAGGGCATGCCTGGATCCACTGGAAAACAAAAGAAAAAGTAACTATTGTATAGTTGCAGAGCAACTGTCATTCATATCTTACGCCACAGCGTAAATGTCTCATATTTGACAAGAACTGAATCACTAGCTCTAAAACTAATCATCCACCATACTGAATGCCTGTTGAGCTGTTTTCTGTTAAGAAAGACTTGTTCTCACCTCTCCTATTGCTATTTTCTCTTGTATAGGAAGCGAGTTCAGAGGTATAGTCACAGATTCGTTCATATCCCTTTCATTTTGACTTGATATAGACTGGAAAAAGGGGTAAGACAAAAAATAAACAAGTTACCAATTCTACAGAAAAAAAATAAAAGGAGAGAAAAAAGGTAAAAGCAGTCTCCCCTGTCTCGCATACATGCACTAACCAATTCCCGGCACACACAGATCTGCACACACAGATCTGCACACACACTCAGGTCTTAGAGGTCCCCAGTGGAAGAGCTACGTGTTAGTGGTGCCCACATACCCTGCTGAGCCGCCTGCGCCGCGGCAGAGCCACAGTGAGCGCTGACTGGTTGTACTTGATGTAGTGGAACCTGGCCGGGGACGTCGGGCACAGGCAGGAGCTCAGCGTGTGCAGCTGGGTTCCTTCATACGACCCGTCCACAGTTAGTGCAAACTTTCTCTCTGAAACAAAGGTGTTCAAACTTAAGCTCTTAAAAAAATGTGGATAATTTGTTTACACAGTAATGTAATATGTTTTCCTGAAGTAACAACATCAATTTGATACCCAAGTTATAGGAATAATAAATAGACTGATTTGTCTGAGGGTTTCAGTTTTAGAGATGGTGTACAGAACGTGTCATATAGCGACTGTTGCTATAGCACCACTGCACTTAGAAATATACATGATGGCAGAGGCTGCAGCTCTGTTCATTAGGTGATGATTCACAGCCAATATTGGTTTGGGGGGACACTCTCTTCTGAAAGTCTGAAATGTGCAAAATACCTTATTATTACACCAGAATAATGTTTGAGTATTACATACTGTCTTATTGCTGAGATACTTTGAAAATTTTGGAATTTTGGGAGAAACACTTTTGTATGAGACCACAATTCTCTTTGGTATCAGTTAAATCTTAGTCCCTCTATCATGCTTCTCTTTCCTTCAACCTGTAATATTTCTTTTGAAATACGTCTAGGACTTAAAAAATAATGTCTGGTGGTTTTTTCCTTTCATGCAAAAGCATCTGATATGTCTGTTGAAGTAATAAAATATGGCCTTTATGTAAAAAGATATCAACCCACAAGGTTCAAGGTGAAATATATTCTGTAAAGCTACACACTCCAAAGGTTATAATCAGCCTTCAAATGAATTATCTCACTTAAACATTCTCAGTCACATCTGGCAAACTTTTTCTCTGAGCTCAACTGGATCATCCAGGTGCTTAAGCAGTGTGCTGGATTGGGGTCAACATGAGATGTCAGAAGAAGGTACTTTAAAAATTGCGTAGGAGGCACACAGTTCTGCAAGTAGGGGCTTGACATGGCAGCGATACGCTGCTTTAAGTGTGAAGCAAATGTCTTTGTGTCTCGTGTTTCACCCAGTGGCAAGTCTTATATGGTTGTACCTAAAGAAATTCTATGAAGTTAGGTGGTAAAAGAGGCCCAATTCTCATTCTGCCCATTACTCTGTCCCAGAATCCAGAGACTACAGGAGTTATCTTCAAGTTTAGGACCCAAAAAACCTCAGTTCCTTGCACAACTGCTTTGGAAATTTGTAAATATCTGACAAGACGTCACTGCAGAGGAAAATACTTTGTGGGGAAATTAGACTATGTGCTCATGTCACCAAATTCAGGAAAAATCTGTGTATTTTTGATCAACTACAACCACCTCCACAGGCCACTGGCATCAGTGAGATTTAGTCTTGCATCCTAATTAATTTTAAAAGCAGCATGCTCAAGTGTAAAATACTGAGTACTTCTGCCATTAAGTGGCAACCTGATTTGCTCCCTAAGTCAGTGAAAGGCTCACCCATAGTGTCCTTCCTCAGCCTCCCGTCGTTCACCTGCACATCCAAACAGGAAACCTCACGAGACTGTAAGAGACAACCAGGGCAAGAGACAAAGGTGTTCACTGTCAGCAGAGCTTGACCTCATCCACTGGACACATGCCCGCAGGGCCATGGGAGAGATGGTGCCAGCCTGTAAACCCACTACCAGGTCTAGGGAGATGGGATTGGACTTCCCCATGGGAAACAGCAGAATGCATAGAGATGAGGAAAGAGAAGGAATCTGCTCGCTCTGCCTGCAGGAGCGGCCCTGCAAGGGCCTGAGGGAGGATCAGCCACAGGAGAAGGCTCTCCAAACAGGGTGCCCAGATCTCCCCAGGTAGAGGGAGGGATGCCATACCCCTGAGCCCAGCTCACTTAAGGCAGAGGTGAGCGCTGGCAGCAGGTCAGTGTCTTCACCACATTAACCTCTCCCAGCACTAGTCACTAGCTGGGACCATGTGAATAAGCCAATGCCAGCACCAGCTTTAGGCTGTGTGTGTTGGTCTTGGTCAATGCCTCCATGCCACCACAATGGCCTGGTACCTTTAACACCAGCTTTGCAACAAGCATTCCTATACAGAAGGGGAAAGTATTATGAAATAAAAATTACCACTAGAACTCCATTAGTAATAATGTTTTCAGGAGGATCTGGACTGAAAGACAAAATGCAAAACAATCAATTCAAAACCAGGACACTCTTATTTTTCTTTTTTTATGACTCTTCTTTAAGCATTATTTCATTATCTTTTAAAGATAAAGTCCATCTTTGGACAGGCAACATAGATAAACAGAATCAGAAATTCCACATGCATATTCAATCCAGTTTGCTTCTCACAGGTTAGAGTCTGAAATTTGCAACATTTGTGGACATCCAAACAGAGGAATTCCTCACTGTATTAGAGAGAATAATTTTCTGACACACTGAAGACAATTTACACAGAGATGGCATAATGACGCTGTTGGCCAAAATTGTTCAGTTCAAACCTGTAGTAGAATTAGAGCTAAAAAGCTGCTGAATTCATCCAACACGCCATAAAAAAAAAAAAGGGGGGGGGGGGAATTGTCATTTGTCTTAAAAATCACCAGCACTAGGACTGATCTACATGTTTTTCTCTCCATTAACCATACAGTCAGCAAAGAAACACAGAAAAAAACTTGTTATGACAGAGCAAACATCTAGAACCCCACAGTAAAGAACAAGAGGAGAAACTTAAAACTTCCTCCTATGTAGAATGTGCCTTTCAGCTTGATGAACAGCTGCCATCAGGGCAGCTTGCTTCTATGCGTGTCTGGATGCCCAACGTAGATGCATGCATACCATGCACCATCATGCATTCTTTCTACATTAAACATTCTACCCAAAGTTACCTTCTGTTTTATGCAGATGTTGGCAGTGTTAGGGGACTCCAAGTGTGAACTGATTTGTAGCAGTACCCTTGTGTTTCCATTTTACCCCTCCAGCTATTTCATCTTACACACCTGCTCTCCATTGTGAATTCAACCTCCAACTCCTCTTTTCCCTGCAAAAGAAAATTAATTCAGTCACCACATCTTGGTCTCCTGGAGAGAGATATCCTACAGGAATCTATTCCCTTCAGGGGTCTCTATAAACCAGTGTCCACCTGCTGTTTCACATGCCACAAACCTAATTTTCTTCATGTTTTATCTGTTATACTTCTAGTATCACATACTCCTAGCATCTTCTCTACTAATTTAGCAGACTCCTAATGTAGACCTTGCAGGACACGTGGAATCCATACTGCAGGGCCTCTTGGTGGCTGCTCCCCCCTGCTCCCTCTTGGCATGCTCTCCACACAAGCAGGTGAGAACCTGACCACACCCTCTTTGCTTTGTCCTTGAATCCTTGAATTTTATTCATACCTGTGGATTCAGCTGGAAACTTAGCTGAATGTTTTCTCCAAGCTGGATTTTGGAGACATCAAAGAAAACAGTGAGGAGATGGTCATCTTCAGTTACTTTGTCCTCATCACAAACTTTAAGCTCCAGAATGTTCTGGGAAAAAAAAATAAATATGAAAGGTTTAACAAATGTAACATGCTACAAATATTTCATTTTAGGAGAAGAACCTTGGGGAAGAATGACAAAATGGAAATATTGCAGTTGCTCTCTGTGTATTCTATTGACTATGCAGGCAGATACACAGTCTTATCAAACCATCAAACCTAAATAAGTACAGTAAGAGTGGGAATACTTCACAAGGGATCTCAGAAGGACTTGCAGAGTTGAAGGACTATACAGTATGCTTGATATCTGCTAAGAATAGCTGTTGAAGGTGTCTGCACGCTTACCTTAACCTGGCTCTGAATCGTGAAGTGGAAGGTCTCATTCCATGTCGGATTCTTGCTGTTCTGGACAGTCTTGGTGCGGAAATGCTGCACTGAAGCTGTTGGCAGGCTCAGGCTCACATAGCAATCAGATTGACTTACTGTTGAAGACAAGGAAAGCAGGAAAGCAATGGTCCAATGCAACAATCTAGTCCCCTGTAAGGTGGGCATTTTTAAGCTCTGTACATAAAGCACTACACAGAATTCTGGCCTGGCACTAGCTAAGGTACCATCAAGCTGCTGCTAGAAAACCATCTTGCTTTACTATTGTAAAACACTGTCAGGGTGGCGTTCTTGAGAACTACTTTTTTACAAGTCCTGGGGGAAAAAAAATCAAAATACTCAACTGTGTTGCTGAAGAGCTATCCATACACATAGGGGCACATACAGATTGTGGCCTCACAGGGCTGGCCACCATGGACATTAGCAGCTGTGACAGGGGCTGCACATGGACAGAGCCCAGCTCCTACACACTGGACTTCCACATGTAAGCATGAACATGCCTTTATATGTCTAGAGTAGGTCTGGCTGTAAGTTCTGTCTTTTCTACTTTATGAGTATCCTTTCCTAGGACCTCTGGCTGCAGAGGAGGAAAGAGCTTGTTGCATTCAAGGTTCCCATGAAGACAAACTTCTGTCACAGAAGGCACATCTTCTACCAAGGCACATGATTTCAGTTTGCTTTCTTCCCTTATGAAAGTCACAAAAGGAAACAGCAACAGAGATTTTCAAGAAAATATAAGAAAAAAAATCTAAGAAAAGAAGATTTCTTAAGCAACAGGTATTGCTTAATGTCACTATTTTCACCTGCATCTCTGCCTCAGCCAGAGTGGCAAAGATATTTGCAATACTTCATGTACAGGTGGAAGCTTGTCTGTTCTTCACAGCATGGAGCAAGCTGACATTGCTTCTTTGTACAAAATTGTATTGCTCTGCTGTTTCCATTTGAGGCATGTACAGTTTGTAAAGTTCACCCATTTACTTTAATGTTTCCAGATGTAGGGAAGACAGATTTAGTGGTTTTTTCCTTTCTCAACTGAAGTGGCCAGTTGTAAATTGTGACTTCCCACCTGAACTCCATGTAGGAGCTTTTAGTAGGAAGGAGTGGTTAGTAGCAGTCTGCAGAGCTTGCATCACAACAAGCACTTTCTTTCTGAGGTCAGAATAATCTACTGGCAAATATATTTGTCATCATTATTAGGAAATAAAAAAGCAAGCATGAATCACTAGAGTAACGATCTTGTGGACCCACACTCAAAAGTCAGGGATGGTCACCCTACAGAACATGATCTCTTAGTTAGGGATGACAACTTATGCAAGTGCCAAAGAATAGCATGGGGAGCATTGCCATAAATGCCAATCCCATTAGTAGAATTATATTTCCTCTTTTTGTGATGCCACATACTCAAGCATTCCTGCCATCACACAGCAGACACACCTTCATCTGAATAGGCCTAAGTCTTGTCACACTTAGTTTTACTGGCAGACTTGACTTTGGGAAACACAAAATAATTTACTTGACCCGTTATTGACTCCCCACGTGCAACTCAAGAATTAAAAAAATTGGCCTTTTTCTTCCCTTGATTTCTCTGAGGCTTAAGTAATCTTTTCTGTGTAAGTCTGAATGAAAGAAGAGTTCTTTGACTGAAGAAGAGTGATAAAATGGTTTTCATATATATTAAGCTATATGATTTCTTAAAAAAAAATTAAAATACATAGAAATCAGCTGAGCTTCTAACAATTCTAACAGCTCCAAAAATTCTATGTGTGTAAGGAAATGTCCTTACAAAAATCTTTTTTGGTTTTTGGGAAGCCCAGACTGATATTAGCACAGATTGCTATCGGCTCTTGTCACCACTAGGAGAAGGATCAGAAGAATCCAAATGGGTAAGTCTATGGGCGAACCAAAGTTTATTTTGTTGACATTTCCCAATTAGTAACACATGCTCTGACTTAGTAACACACGCTCTGACTTCATCTGTTGCAAAGAACACAGCAGTATTTTGAAACTCCATCAATTATTTTTTGTCTGTAAGCAGTCACTGTCTGCTACCGCACTGTATCATCCACCTTTGAGAAATAAGTACCTGTCAGATAGCAGAGCTGTGACTTCTCATTTAGATCTCTGACTTTCTCTGGGAGACTTCTGACAGCCACTAGACAAGCGTGCTTCCCTCTTCCCATCTGCAAAATGTGTTTGATGATGCCCTTTGCACTTCAGAATTGTCCTCTGTAACCTAATTACCTTTTGTTTTTAAATTATTTTCCAGGTGTTAAGAGGGAGGCATTTAAAAGACCCAGGAACCTTTCTTACACATCTTGGATACCTCAGGCTGGTGTTCTGCCTGACCACCTCCAGGTGTAACCAGGTGTGTGAGAAATGGCACTCCACAGCCTATCCTGTGCCCTGCCTGGTGGGTCTCACTGCAATATCCCTCTGCCTTTGCATGCACACACACAAGGCTGGCACTGCCAGCCACATGTGAGCAAACCCCCACCACCCTGTAAGTCAGCCTAACCAACGCCCAACTACAGCAGCTAGGCTGTCACAGGACACACACAGCACAGCATCACACCAGTCACCTCTTTGGTCCCTCCCCTCCACCATGACACGGTAACAGCTGTCAAACATGCTTGGGATGGCAGCCATGGTATTCCTGTGGGGCAATATCCGGCCAAAAGCAGGTGTGGCAGCAGGTATTTATGAAACCACAGTCTCCTCGTCCAGTTATTACACTAAGTGTCTAATTATCTTCCAGGATAATAGCAGGCACGACTGGATCTTAATTGTGCTTTACAATTAGGAAGCATTACAACAACATGACCCATTCTAAAAAACACCATAGCCACAGCCACATGCTGCATCCCAAACAGGAGGACACCTACACATCTGGATCGAGCTGAAATCTCACCTGCCTCATAGAGAGCTCAACTTTAAGCAGGGCTCAACCAAACGTTTTCATTTTAATTCCGTCTAATTTTTTTAATGTTAACAGCTGCAAGCTTCAGCCCACCTGTGATCTGGGCAGAAGCCTCAAACATCCTTCTCTTCATGGACTGCCTTTAGCTCCTCACTCTTTCTGAGAGGTAGATTTTTTTCATGATACTTAAAGTATAGTTTTTTCTCATTGTGCTGAAAAGACCTGAACCGAGAATGCAGTCTCAAACACTGTTTGCCCAGAGCATCTCCTTGACCTGGTCTCCCTGCACATGGATCCAGCCAAGTCACAAAATATAAGCTATCAACACCAGCTGAGAGGAACATTTTTCTTCTTTTTCTTCCACTTCACAGCTGAGTAGGTATCTGGCTGAGGGCAGAGGGACACTGGAGGACAAAATACTAGATAATTTATGTCATTGAAACTTTTAATGCTATCTTTTAAATAAGAATGCAGGCTACTTCTGTGGTCTTCTAGAAGGCAATTTATAGGCAGACTCTCAGAATTTGTTCTGTCCAAGGAGATCAGTTCCTGTCCCCAGGGAGCATTCAGTATTCATCTTCTAATAGGTAAACTTCAAGAAAAAGCTTTCATCTCCCACCCCCACCTTAAGTCTGGGTGGACACCCAACAAGTATCCCTAAAACTGTATTTATGTAATCTCATTTACATCCGTCTTTATAACACTCCATTATTGAGATGTTGCTAAACAACCTTCCTTGTTTCTTTATCAGTCCACATCCTCTGATTTTATAATCATATTTCACGCAGCCACCTAGAACAATAGGCTGCTGGTGTGTAGTTGCAACTGTTTAAATGGTGAAGTAATAAATAACAATGAAATAATAACAACACTGCAAGAACAGAACACCAGAGGAAGTCTGCATGTTCCTGCAATAAGTATTGTGGTGGAACACAGTTCCTCAAACAATAATGTATTTTACTGACTATTTTTTTTCCTGGATCTCAAGGGACTTTCACATTAATTGATCTCATATGTGGCAGAATTGTTACTGCAATTCTGTAAAAATGTTTTCGTGAAAATATAAAACATACTTAATCATTTTATAAAATATAATACCCAAATTTGTCTTATATAAAAAAATCCAAAACTTGAAGTTTCCAAAATTAAAAAACATAATATAAAAAAAAATCTGTAAAAGGTTGAAAAATGTCATTTTCTTACTAAGAAAATGATGAAGAATATTTTTGACTCTATAGTGGTCAAGGTCCATTTAGCCAAGGGCCCACATCCATTGTTCACTGAGCGGTCTTGGGCATTTTCAGGAAGCAGAGAATGATGGCTTAAAATTTCTGAACTTAATATCCCCATAAAGTAGCCTGCTTTCACATTGTTTAACCCGTAACACTCTGCTTCCTTGCTTTTCTATTCGTTAATTCCACTTAAAGATTTCTCTGCAGCATCTTGGTTTTTAGTCCCTTTGTCCACTTTTTTTTTTGTGAAAGACCTTTGGTCTTATCAAGGATGGATATCATGCCTCACATTTATAAATGGGTGTCTAAGGAGAGTATAAGAGAGAAAACATCATTTAATGTACTCTCAGTATTTAAGATACAGAGTCTTCCTGAGCCTACTTTAACTGGAATTTTTTTTTTTTTTTCCTACGAACTTGTCCAGATTCTGCCTGCAACCTGCACAAACTTTGGCATTCATGATCTCCTGCTATGTGGAACTCCCAAGCGGTAAAAGCCATGTCCTTCTGTTTGTCCCAGGGATATAGTGGTTGAGCAGTTGATCTTGAAATTTGCAAAATCTCAGGAGACAAAGCTGTGTACTTAAGGGTGGGTTGGATTGATGCACATGCAGCCTTACCCCATGAGGGAATCAGGATGCTTGTGGAGGACACACCCAAATCTGGGAACTGGCAAGCTATCACAAGTCCAGGAATATCAAGAGGCCCAATGGGCCTGATGAGCCTGTGGGTGTGCTCAGTGAGAAAGCGGAATGTGAAGAGCACAAACAAGGCACTAAATTTACATGTGTTATTAATGATATCAGATATACATTAGTACACAAGTGGAAATTTGTGTTATAAATTACACACTGAGAGATCAGTGGGAAGGGTGCACTAAAATGATTCAGGGTTTATAAAGCAGAAAAAAACTATTTAAATTATCTTAGTTAAAAATACTCCCTTATGCACTGAACTCCTATTTAAGGTCTTTTGCTATCTATTCCATAAGAGATGTTAGTGAAATTTTAAGATTCTCTTGTTATGGATCAATTTCCCATCTCTATTACTTGAAAAACAGAGCAGATAGACCAAAAATAGAGTTAACCTGCAGCACCAGGTTGGGAGACATTTTAAGCACTAGATGAGTATTTAACAAAGGGATTTGAAAACTCTACAGAAACCTAGTGCAAGTTTGGGCACAATTAGCAAGAGATAGAAGAAACCAATTTAAAACATCAAAAATCAGTAATGTGAATCAAAAATAGGTGACACAATCTTGTTCTATCTATAAAATTTTGCAAGAAAGAGAAAGTAATAAAAACAGGGCTGAGAAAAGGAAGAATGAGAAAAAAAACAGTGTTAGGAAAATGATCCAAGTCTACTTTGCTGATGATGGAGGATATGTGCCTCTGAGTTTGTAAGCCTATGTCATGCTAATCTCTAGAGAGCTGTAAAGATGACTGAATAAACTCCACAATAATCCCCTGGTTTTACACAAACCAGCAAAATTTTCTTTGCATTTTTTATCTCAAGACTCCTATTTTGTTGCTTCTCAGTGGAAATCCTATAAAGTTATGGACATTCAATTTGCACTAGCTTTACACTATCAGAAAAGCTAAGCAGAGGTTAAATTAATTTATTTAAACTTTTGAAATATTTTATATGATAAAAAGCCTGTCATTGAACTCTGTGACTTCTGAAAGTCTGGCTGCATAGAAAAATATGTCCTCAAACAGCTTAAAAGCAAATCTTTCTGATAAATACAACTGAAAATTTCCACACTCAGTAAAATTAAATGTTACAGGAAATAAGCAGATGTCAGTCAAAACTAGATTCAACATTTAAATATATAAGCAAGGCAGTGCTCCTTGACTGGTATGATTTTCTTTTCCTACACAATGAACATCCACAACAAATAAAGCATTCACCTTTTGCAAGTGTCTGTCCTGGGCTTGTTGTGCAAAATTTTTTCCCCTCCAAAATCACCTCTGTCAAACAAATTGCTCCTTTAGAAAGCTCTGTGGGGTGGTGGGACATGGCTTGGACTGGGAAGCAGAAAAGGCTGAGCATTTCACTCCCTGTCTCATGCCCTAGAAACTTTCTAGTATTGAATAAGACAGCATCAAAACATAATAAAACTCATCAAGAAAAAAAAAGCCTAAAGATGAAAATGAAAAGCATTGATCTAGATGAGAAAAAGGATGAGAGGAATTTTGATATGCTCATTGTTATACAGATATTTTAATAGAACACAATGATCTAGGGAAATATCTAAGGGTTGCAATTTTTCCACACCTCTTTTTTTCAGCTCAGTGTGCATGTTTGTACATTCAAATGGATTTTAGTTGTAGGAAGGGATTTCTCTCCAGACTATAACTGAGCTTCAAATATTCTTTCCATGCTGTACAAGTAATCTAGTGACAAGGTTTGTATAGATTATTCTTCCCCATACATTCATCAACAATAAAGCATCTTACTGCTCTAGACTAAAAATCAGTGAAAAACTCTTCTTCACATTCCTTTTGGTCTCCTGACAAGCTGTTGCAGAACTTGAAGCAAATAATGTTAGAAAGGTACAAAAATATCTTGTCCTGGATCTTTTTAAGTGAACAACTTCAGCTTGGCCCTGCTCATAGAAACTTTCTGCATTCAGATCTCTCTATGTGTATAAATGAACAGATGAAAGACAATCAGCCCTCTTCTCAGATAGGAGGAGGTGGTTTTCATTCAAGCCATTTTTATAATGTTTTGGAGCTCAGATATTTATGGACCATTAATAAATATTTGCATTACTGTAATTCCTGAACAGTTTGTAAAATAATTTAAGAATACAAAAAGCTGTGAGCCATGCCTATTGCTGAATGAAATTTGATAATCTGTAAGAGATGCCAAGTGTGCAGTCCTGAGCTTACATCAAATATTTTTGAGAGGCCCAGAGTTACATGGGGTCGACATTACTGTAAGAAGGAACAATGGAAAGAAAGTTGTTATTGCAATCTTTCCTGTGAATAAAAGAACATTTATTTGCCGATTCAGATCTGAAATATTTTATGCAATCTGTGCAAACATGTTCTGCATTACAACTGGTGGCTACCCTTCACTGCTATATGGACAAATATATAGGAAAAACAATGTCTTCTAACTGTGTTATCTCATCTTCAGCATAGCAGGATTATACATTTTCTATCTCTCTCCTTTTAAATATAGTCTGTAGTGTTTGTGACACTTGATATATTCAGAGTAGTTTTACAAGCACGAGGATGCTCCAGGGATATAGCAAAGATACTCACACAAGTCTGCTTTCCTGGCATTTTTCATCTGTATGATTTTTACAGTGAGCAAGTTGCATGGAGACGGTTCTGTCTGTTGAACAGCACACAAAATTCATGGGATGAGAATGCAAAAAGGAAGAACAGAAGCATAGTCAGAGATAGAATTGAACTAGTGTTTCAGTTCCAAACAACAAAAACATTTCTGAACTGAGGTTCCTTATTGTGCATTGACTTCTTCCCAGGTTTGTAGCCAGGTATGACCACAGAGCAGACCTCTGACGTCCTCTGTTCTCCATTCTGAGGACACTTGTGGTAAACCTTCAAGCTTGAGGTATCTGACTGTTACAACCCATTCTCACAGAAAGGTGTGATAAAGAACCTTGCTGTGTTATTAATATAGCTGACACACATCTTGGTCTGAGAAAACTCACAGGATGTCATATATATCCATTGTATTTCACAACAAACAGCAAACAATCTAGCAGGGCAGGAATTCGTAATGATATCAGGGTGTAATGATGCTGTGCATCAGTTGATTAATAGCTACATAACTATATTCTTATGTCTGATATAGAGCAGTGCTGGCTTTTAAATAAACGAGGCCCTGGAGAGGGCCTTCTAGAGACCTATCCCAAACTTCTCAGGAGGAGTGAGTGAAAGGCACAATTCTGTAGTTAATTGCCTCTCTGTGAATAATTCAGCTCACTCAATCTTCCTTAAAGCAAAGCTCTGAGGAATGTATCAAAGGAAATATTTGCAGCTTCCTAGTACTTAAAGGGGGCTTATAAACAAGAGGGAGAGTGACTTTTTACACAGCTGGATGACAAGGAGTGGTTTTAAACTAAAAAAGAAGAGATTCAAATCAGATATTAGAAAGAAATTCTTTACTCAAAGGGTGCTGAGGCACTGGAACACGCTGCCTAGAGGAGTTGTGGGTGCCCCATCCCTGGAAGTGGTTCAAGGCCAGGTTGGACGGGGTCTTGAGCAACCTGGGATAGTGGGTGATATCCCTGCTTCTGGGGATGGAGTTGGAGCTGGATGATTTTTAAGATTCCTTCCAACCCAAGCCTTTTTATGATTTTGGAAAACCACCTAAATCTAAAAGTGGTTACCAAAGGACATTTAAGAAACTTGTGAGGAAACAGCTTTGATTTAGTCATCCTCTCATCTTAAACAAGGATCAGAAAAATGTGATAATTAATATGTAGGGGCTGAAATTGAGGTACTTTTTTTCTCTAGATAATTGTCCTTCTTAAAGGAATAAATGGAGGGAAAATTGCACACTTAATGCTCTAAATTACAAAAAAAACCCAAACCAATCAACAAATAAAAAAAAATCCAAAAACCCCAACCAAATAACAACAAAACCCCATCAAAAATCCCACCAACAATAGAAACATCAGCCCCAAAAATCCTCCAACAAAACCACACCAAAAACCAAGAGGAGAGAGCAAAATTAAGTAGTGATGCATCAAGCACATGTAAGAGACAGTTTATGCACACTACCTACAGAGCAGGGAGTATCACTGCAACAAATACATAGATCAGTATATATAACAGTACATTACCATTCATTCCCTTATGCCCCAAAACTGCCACCATTTTTGCATGCTATCTTTAACATCCCACATAATATTAGTTTCCTTACTTTCCCTACGCATTCATTGACATTAATGATAACTCCTTATTTTTCCTCAGTGTGTTGTTTTGCCTTGCCCAGTTGGGTGGAAGCAAAAAGGTATCTTCTCTTATAAACTGGGAATTTTCAAAATACTAAATTATTACACCAATAAAGTTTTTACATTCTGGAGGCCAAAACACAAAGTAGTCACAAAACCCAGTCAGAAAGGAACCCTGCTTTGCTCAGGACAATTCTCAGAGCTGAAGATAGAAGAGGTGAACCATCCCCTCCTGGAGCAGGTCCCCTCTGCCCCAGGGCAGCCCGCTCAGCTCGTTGCAGAGCCTCCTCTTGCCTTTTCTCACCTGGCTCTTGCTGTAGAACAGCCCCATGGTGGTCCTTTCCCCGTCTGAGCCAGGTGTGAAACGTGCTAGTGGATGTGTCCGAAGGCGTCTCAGGCAGGCAGCTCCGTGCGCTTTAAGCGGCCAGGAGCCGGCAGGCAGGAGTGTGAGCGCCTGACTCAGCGCAGCCTCACCCCGCCACCAGCACCTGAGCAATCCCAGCTCCTCCTCCTCTTCCTCCTCCTCTCTGCCCGCCAGCTGAGTGCGCACCTGCACCGAAGCACCTGGCTCCGGCACTGCAGAAGGAGGGTCTCTGCGGAGTTACAGGGAGATGAAGACTGAAAAGTGATTTTTCCCCTTCATGGTTATAGGCACTGAACAAATGCTTTACTCTTTTAAGCATCCTCATCACTTTTTGAGGAGGCCACAATGATCTTGCCCACAGGTGAGCTGTCAACCTGCAGTCACGTGTGTGGAAGTGACTGGCAGCAGCCAGGGACCATCTGTCCAGGACTTCTTTGGCCAAGGGCATCCAAATAGACCAATGTGCATACAAAAAAAAAGCCTTTTAGTAGCTTTCATTGCTTTTTTTGTAGCTTTTCATTGTGTTCTTTGCTTAAAGACACAACTGAAAAAAATTTCGTCATATCCATCTCACCTTCCATTTTGCTCTGTTCAAGTAGCAAATTGTCTTTCAGCTAAGCAGATATTTCAGTGACAAATATTGTATGAAACAATTCCCAAATCACCTGTGCAACCTGTGTTTCCCTTGTAAAGAAAAAGCTTTAAAAGCTCACTTATTTTCTCAAAAATTTTGTTACTTTGTGCATCTGAATTAATATGTTCCTGTGAGCAACCTCTAAGAGAATATATTTGGGAGGATGAAATAAATGTTGAAATCAATGTTAATTACTCCTCATGTTTGCACATACTCTTTATGTCATCACATTTCTAAGACTTCACTGCACAGGACATTATACAGCATGTGAGGTGGTCCCTGCCTCACTGAGGGAATAGACAAAATTACTACACAAGAAATAAAAAAAATTTGTTTCAATTTTGTCTTTTTAAAATCATCCTTGCTATTATAAAAGTTAACAGATCAACCAATTTCAAAATAATCCCATTTCACTTTGCAATTAATTGAGAACCCATTGTTAAAGGTAACTTCAATGACATTATATAATTTGATTTCCTAAAATAGAATATAATTTCCTAAAATAAAACTTTAATACATTCTAACCTAAGAACTAGATCCAACAAATGTCACCCAGGCAAATTTTTAACACATTAAGGATGGGTAACTAGCAGATCACAGAAGCAGCAGTAAAAAGAAGGCAACCCAAAAGGAAAATATTCCTAGAGATGGCAAAAGCTCAGTTACAAGCCTGCATGTTTTTATCAGTCATCCAGAATATATTGAAATTAAAAATAATATATATACATAATATTTATATATAAAATATAAATATTTATATACCTAAATATAATTATTTATATATATATATATATATAAAAAACAATCACCATTGGTACTTTGTTTCAAAAAGACAATATTGAAACACTGAGGAAACTGAAGTTTCAGAGTAGTAGGAGCTCTCAGAGAGGGAAAGGCAGATTTTGTGTCAGCCAGCAGGACACAAAGAAAAGCAGCATTGATCAGTCTCAGGCTACATATTGCACCTACCTGGCTTTTTTCCAACCTACTGTTGAGCAAGATTCCCCTGTAAAACAGACTGAAACATCCTCCATCCTACTTTGTTTCATTTCCAGCAAAAAGGTCTAGGAAACCATGACAGTAAACAGAAAGATATCTCTCGAAAGGACCCAGAAGTATCCCATGAACTAGCTATTCTAGTGTATGGAAGCAGAACTACAATTATAGCTGCCTCATACATTGAGGGACAATAATCTAGATTTAAATATACAATATTGTAGCTGAAAGCAGTGTTACACTGTGCTCTTTCAAGAGTTTCGGATATATGAACACAATGAACGTGCTCATAAGTGAAAAACTTTGCCCTCTCCTTCTCCTCCTGCACCCAAAGTGCTCTTAGATGCCCCATCAGCTGGTTATTTTTTTTAGAAATAAATCAAATAATCCTTTTCTACCATCCATTACCTAAAACTTCATTCCATTAAAAAAAATTGTTGTTTCTGAAGATAGTCAAGACTATCCTGATCTCAACACTAACTTTGCCCCGGTGACTGTCTTAATTTCCTTGCAACAGTGGAAGTCTTTTATTAACAAAAGGAAGATAATCAAAAACATTTTCTGAGCTCCTGTGACTAATCTCTTCATAAATCACAACTCCACAGTACAAGGCTGATGTTGTGAAAGACTTGTGCTTGTGATCTGCCCATTAGAGAGTGGTGAGAGGAGTCTTTGGCAACTACTGTCCCCCAGAAGACCCCTAGGATTTTTGATCATGAGAAACCAGAATCTCAGAACAATCCCTGCAAAGACCATTTTCCTGTAAGTGTTGAACAAGTGTGAAAGGTATATCTGGAAAGGATCCCAAAAGGGTCTCTTGTATTGCCTATTCTACACAAACAGCTACCAGCCACTTCCCATCTTATGAAACACTGGAAGAAATTACAAGGTCATCCTTCAGGAACAGTAAAGGCAGGTAAAGATGCGTGAGACAGGACACTTAGCAGAAACTCCAAGAGAAAAGTGAAGGAAAGTTGGGCAATACGTCTACTGCTTAGGCTGAACATGAGTGGTTCTGGGAGCAGCAGCTCAGAGAGCACATGTTTCATCTGAAACAATTATCTAATTCAGGGGTAGTTTTTTATTGCTGTTGAAAACTGTACACTGATACTAACTTCAGAAACTTATTTTCAAAGACTTGTGAAGACAGTTAAATAAAAATCTCATAGTGGACAGACAATCAAATCAGAGATGACAACCTTCAATAATTAAATAAGCAAGACTAGCACAATGAATTATTTACCAAAAAAAATCCAGTTCAAGGGATTGTTGTTCTGTCACACAGAAAATACAGCATATAAAGACTATTTTGATACAAATTTTAATGTGCCACATAATTCATTATTATCTTCCACAACATTATAATAACTTATATTGAATATATATAACAATTAGTAAAGTAACTTGGTCACAAAACTAAAAACAAATTTACTGCATTGAAGTTTGTTTTGGATTAAACCACTGGTAAATTCCAATCTGTCTGAAGAGCCATGTAAATAGAGTCGAGTCTAGAATGTCCTCAGGATGATGTGATTTCCACTGCAAGTATCACTGATAAGAATCAAGCATCTTGACCTCACCAAACCATATGCAACCCAAGAAATCCCACATGAAAGACTGAAGATAGTGTGTGGTGGTTAATAATTCCGCTGCTTCCTCCGTGCCACTGCCAAGCGCAAGGCCTGAATAATCAACTTCTCATTGTTCAGGACATTGTAATCCGTCAGTTTCACCAGTTTGTCAAAATTCTCTTCACTGAAACACACCTCTCTTGTTGTAAATGGAGAGAGGATGCTGGAGACATCAACTTTGCCTTCAGCCATCTCTTCAGGACTCCTTTCCACACCTAAGGGGACAAACCACAGGGAGATGCACCAATAAGGTTTTTATTGCTGTATGTGGCTCCTATCAGTATTTACATAATTATAGGTACAAAAGGGAGACTTGGAAGGAAAGATATAATTTGCCAGAGGCAAGTAAAAATACTGTGCTAGTAGCACTGTATTCTTCAGCACCTGGATCAAGCCTCTGTCCAAATATGATTTTACATCATTTGATATTTACATCTCTCAAACAGCTTGAAGTCAGAAGAACATTAGCAGCAGCCATGCTAGACCACTGCTGGGACAACACAGTCTTTTTTACCCCACTAGAAAAGCACAAGCAAAAAGGAAACCAGACACTCTTGTACTAGACAAAATAATAGCCACCTCACTGAAAGTTCAGGAGAAATAATTGCACTCAGAGGACATAATTCAATTAAAACCAAAGATCTTTGTCCACTCAAGCCTCAGTATGGGAGATTACTTTTAAATATGTGAAAAAATCTTGAATGAATGGGCTTCACACCAAAACCACCAGAAGGTTTTTCCTCATCTTTGTTTGCAAGCAGCAGTGCATGACAAGTCCATGTCTGTAGAGCAAAACATCTTGTGTTGAGAACCAACCCTTCAAGGTATAGAAGTATCAGAAGTTTTGCTTTCATACTAACTCTAGTTGTTCTTGTAAAATAAGTGCCTGTGCTTTAAGAATCTCAAGTGCTTTAAGAAAGACTCTGGAGTTCATATAGTTCAGATGTACTGACACAGAAGATTTTTTTTTCAGTGATGAGACCCATGCTGGCATTGGAAAGGTCAGAGATGACAGTAACAAATACATCAGATATGAAATGGAAAGAATTCACTAGGAAAACAACTTTTTATTAAAATTGTTATCACAGATGACTCACCAGGAGCTTTATATTTCTTGAAGGTGTCATTTACTAGGGGAAAGAAAAGCACTGTTGGAGCTTGTGGACTGTCAGCATCTTCAAACACATAGCACTCCTTCAAGTTTTCCCTGTCTTCCTCACTTATCTCAATTTTGGGAAATGGAATTTCTTGCTCTGAGAAGTACTTTGCAATCTGATCCAGAGGCTGGATGAAAGAAAAAAAAATATATATATAATTATTACAAACAATCAAAACTAATACAGAGACCTGAATATTTTAAACTGTAGCAGCTAACAGGAATATTCTAAGGTTTGAATCTCCCTCTGGCAAGATATTAAATTTCAGCTGGAAACAATCATAACCATACCAGACACTACAGTTTATCTTATTTTCCACATTGCTTTAGGCAAAACAAGAAAACAGTCACTTTCTCTGAACTTGGAAATTAATCCAAAACCCACAGGTCAGATTTTATTATTCCATTGAAAGAAGTTCATAAGGGGAAGGCAAAGAAATTACAAGAATTGAGAAGGGACACATCAGTCCAGATTACTCTGCATCATTGTCTTGACTTCATTTTTTACCATTTTCTCAGTCTTTGTCTGCTGCATAATTGGTGTTCCTTGATAATGAATCCCTATTAATAAACACACTTATCAACATATCTTGTGACCTCATAAAAAACTTTAATAGCTATATTTACTATAAACCTATGGTTTTTGTATTATTATTATTATATACACAACACTATTATATTATTTCAAATTATGAATCAATCTGGCATTAGCCACTAAATTTCCATAGGATTGGTATGAGATATAAAGGCCAAGACAGGTTTTTCATTTAGTCTGTTAAAGT